CACAAAGATTTGAAGGGTCAGAACATCCCCAGCTCCATTTTTCTTCCCCCAAACACCTTTTTCCCCCCCAAAATGTGAAGATGTGAAGGGTCACAGCCTGGACACGGCAGGACATCCCTCCCTCACCCCCAAAATCTCCTCAGCCCCCCCCCCCGAGTTCCTGAGTTGTCCCAAATTTTGGGGAGGCACCATCTCCAGCCTCATTTTCCCCAAAATTCCAAGGAATCGGGGTCGTTCCAGTGCTGGAGTTGGAGGTTGTCCCCGGGGTGGGAGCGAGTGGAGGGTGTCACGACCCCCCAAATCCTCTCCACACCCCCTGGGGGGGGGGCAGCGGCACAATCCATGGGGACATCCCAGATTTTGGGAGCGGGAATAAAAAGCGGGATCCACGCCCAGACTTCGGGAGCGGGAATAAAAAGCGGGATCCGCGCTCAGTCCTTTGGGATGTTGGTCCTTGGCGGCTCCAGCCCTTCCCAGAATCCCGGAGGAATTGTCCTTGTCCTGCCTGCTCCTGGCACCTCCTGCCTGCAGAGGGGATCGGGAAGGACGTCGGGACATCGGGAATGCCATCGGGACATCGGGAATGCCCTCGGGAATGCCATCGGGAATGTCAGCGGCGCCCCCGCAGGTCCCGGAGGGGAAAACTCGCCTCGTTTTTTCTTCCCGGCGAGTCCCAAATAAATCACCCTCTGAAGAGATTCCATGCTCAGCATCCCCAAAAAAACCCCAACCAGCTCCTTCCATGGGAAATCCCGGCCTGGATCGGCTCCCTCGGCATTCCCGGGGTTCGGAGGGGATGGAGCCGCTTCCCTCCCTCTCTCCCGGGAGGCTCCGGCTCTGATTCCGACGAGGTTGGAACCTGAGGGGAGACGCGGGGGCAGCTTTGAGGGTTTGGCTCATTCCGGGTTTCCCAAAATCCCCCAAATCCAGCGCCTCGGCCAGGAAGGGGGTGGGGGAAGATCCGCGCTTATCCCCGAGCCCTCGAGCTCCGCATTCCCAGATTTCCCCGGAGCCACAAGGGATGCGCTGGGAAATGTCCCCGAGCCCTAAAGGAGGTCCAAAAAAATTGC